AAAAAAAAAAAAAAAAAAAAAAAAAAAAAAAAAAAAAAAAAAAAAAAAAAAAACTCCAAAGGGTGATGCAACACGTCATTCAGGATGGAGTTGAGGAAATCCCTGCGGAATGCCTTTGGTTAATCCTCGACACTAATAGTTATAACTTACCCCGAGGAGGGGTTGTTGTCGGGAACAGCGGGAGGTGGGGGGAGGGGGGAGCTGTCTGGAAGGGGAAGGGGACGGGGGAGGATGGGTTACGTACAAGCGGTTGCAGGGGTTGGAAACTTGGAGCTACAGTTCTCTCTGTTTTTCTCTCCCCTTTTTCAGCCTTTTTTTTTCCCCCCCCCCCAACCCCCCCCCCCCCTCCTCTCCTTGTTATAGATCGCTCCATTCTTATTGGTGGGGAGCTGCACCAGCTGGAAGCCGGGTCCAGCGTCCCAATTACAAAAACGAAGGAAGTTGTGAGCTGTAGACGACGGAAAGCATTGATGATTGCCCTCAGACGAGGAGAAAAAAAAAAAGACTGTCCATCAGATCGAGATGGCGAGAGGGTGGACTAACCTTTTTGCTGGCAACAGCTTGATCAATCATGTGCCCAGCTACATACCAAACCCTAAATGAAGGAGAATCCCCAGACCCCTCCAATGCAGAGAAACACACTACCCACCCTGCTATCTCAAGCACTGATCAGGCCGCAATTACTGTTATGTGATTTTCAAAGTCATACCCACCCATCTCAAACGATGAACAGGAAATTCCAAAGTTTTTTTTTTTTTTTCCCAAAGAGTTCCCCGCACGCACTGGTGGTGCTCCCTGCTCGTTGCCATCAAATCAATAAAGTCGGCCAGTTGAAAAAATATTGGCTGACTCAGCCATAGCTGCATTGTTTGTTTAAGGTTGTTCTATGCACATACCCATTCAATTCAAGAGCAGTTAGTTTAACTTAATTGCACGTGATCAGAAGGAAAAACAAAGGGGTGGTTCGGCACATGGGCGAGCACTGCAAGGCTCCCCTTGAGAGTTTCATTGTCAAAGAGAAGTACCGGCACAGACACGGGGGGGCGCGGGTGGGGGGATCGAGAGAGACAGATTGAGAGAGGC